TTATGGAAATACTTGAAACAAATTTACTTAAAATATTCTTATTTCTAAAATGTGTCGTGAATAACGAAGGGAATATTAACAGTCGTTCCGAAGATGGTCAAGCCATGAAATGCAAAACAGTACAGTAGTTTACTTGCATGATGAATCTGTTTTCTTTCAAAATCGTCATTAAGTGTTGGCTGTGTACATGCTTGGTTATGGTGGTGCTAAACTTGGTGTTTCCCCAGTTGTTCCAGTTAAGTGTGATTTTAGCTACCTTTATTTGGGAGATGTTGAAGTGCGGTACACTTCGTCTTATGCCTTTGGTTTATTGTTGCTAGAAGTTTGGATTTGGTTGTTCGTCTCTTCAGAAGACTTGGGCCTTGTAGCGTGACATCTTCCGACGTCGCTTCGTATTCCGTCTATCTTCCATCTTTTCAAGAGTGGCCGAGTGTTTACGTTGCTGTGACACCTTATTATCTCCAAGATATCCCATCTGTCTGTTTTGTCAGCATATACATGACATTCACTTATTCATCCACACTTGCATCACGCACACACAGTTGTATTTGTTAATGTCATTAAATTCGTACACCTTAGTTGTGTCTTTTTTCAAATAACGTATTTGATCCTTCCAAATAGGGTGTCAGCTTAAGCATAAAGTGCGCCTCCTTTCTAATTCCCCAACTGAGCTAATCCTCGTGGATGATTTTTGATTTAGCTTACCTTGTCCATTTCTGGATAGGATAAATTCCCCAATCGAGTTACTTTCTCATTGGGTAGAGTCTTGTTTGACTGTTTTCTCTCTGGTTACTCCTGGATGAAGTCGTTGCCTCTTGCATAGGCTATCTCTTTGATTTTCCCCAGTGAAATCGCGACCCAGACAGTTGGTGCATTTATTTCGCACGTTTAAATACGTGATCTCCTCGGGAAGGATTGATTCAGGGTCCTCTTTGATGAAGATTTTATTCTCTGCCAATATCATCGCAGTTCCCCTCTGAATTATGTCGGAAAACGACAAGCGGTAGCTCTTCACGAGCAACTTGTACGTTACTATCTTCGACAAGCGCCGAGCAGTAGTTCTTCATGAGCTACTAGTGCGTTATTTTAGCTTTCGGAAAGCGCCAAGCAGCAGTTCTTCACGAGCTACTAGTGCGTCTTTTTATTCCGTTGGAAAGCACCAAGCAGCAGTTCTTCATGAACTACTAGTGCGTCAGTTATGACTTTGTGAAAGCGCCGAGCAGCAGTTCTTCATGAGCTACTAGTGCGTCATCGTCATTTTATCCTTTTTGGGAAGCGCCGAGCAGCAGTTCTTCATGAGCTACTAGTGCGTCATCGTCATTTTATCCTTTTTGGGAAGCGCCGAGCAGCAGTTCTTCATGAACTACTAGTGCGTCATTTACTCTTTTTTTGAAAGCGACAAGCAGCAAACCCTTCATGAGTTACCAGTACGTGTTACCAGTACGTTATTATTCTTCGGAAAACAGCAAGTGGTAGCTTCTTTATTTGAGCAACTTGTTCGTTATCGGTATTTTCTTTGGACGACAGCAAGTGGTAGCTTCTTTATTTGAGCAACTTGTTCGTTATCGGTATTTTCTCTGGACGACAGCAAGCGGCGGCTTCTTTATTGGAGCGACTTGTTTGTTATCGGTATTTTCTTTGGACGCCAACAGCTGGCAATTTTCTTTATTTGAACAACCTTCGTATCTACAGTCTTATCACCTCAGCATTAATGAGTATACCTCTGAAATCTCGCAGAGAAGTCTGGTACGAATCTACACCTCCAGAAGTCGGTAACCAGTTATCAGCAATTCGATACTCCCTGTCTATCGTCGACCTTGAGTTGCGAATTCACTATTTGGATCAATAATCTGTTACGGCCTATGCAAGGTGCTCTCTTTGTTAGGGTTAGAGGTTGTGTTCCCTCGTTTTTATTCGCTGTCAGGAGTCTGTCGTTTGAAGTCGATAGCTTGTTCCCCCAGTAGCGTATGATTCATGTCTCGATGTTTTGTTGGTATTCGATTCCTCCGACGTTTGTCTTGTTTCATACAATATTTTTTTTTTCTCTGTGAATTCAACATTACATTCATATCACCGCATGATAACGGCATCTTAGGACAAAATTTGCGAAATTATGTATTTAAGTACCTTCGATCTCGTCGAGACGAAGACTTTAATCTTCATATCTCCGGATAGAAGGAACTTAAATAGGGGCAGCTGTTGTACCCCAAATTTTGACCTAAGACGTCGTCTCCTATCTGCATCTTTACATTACATTTGTTTTGATCCATCGATTTTGAATTTCGTGACTTTTTCGGGCCAAGAGCTATTTATGCTGAACATTGAATCATTTAATCGATTCGTGCAAAAAATGATGTTTATTAATTATCTATTATCTAAAACTTAAATAATTGAAATTCATTTTTTGATTATTATTTAGTTTAAAGATGTAGGGATAATAAAATGAACATCAGAGAAGAGGCGCATTAGTTGTGCGGACGTTTCATTTATTTACTCATTATTTTTAAATTTAAGTAACTAGAATTTATTCTTAGTTATTCTATAATTTAAAGGTTATGAATAATATAAATAAGCATTTGAGGAAATTCATTGGTCAATAACGACTGTTTAATCGTTCGTCGCTCTAGGTTAAATGATTGAACTCCTATTTTAATTATTATAACTTAGTTGAGAATGATGGATTAAATAATCGAAGGTATTGGTTGGTCAATGATAATTATTATTTATCTGTTTATTATTTTGAATGTAGGTAATTGGAGATTTGTTTTCAATTATTATTCGTTTGGATAAAATAATAAACGATAAATAAATAAAGAAGAAGAATTAATGGACAAATAGTTTCTTTTATTCATTTTTTTTTTTTGGTACAAGTTATTTTGTAAATATTGTATATATTACAGTAAATTACAATAATGAATTGACAAAATTAAAATGAGATAAAAAAAAACTAGTCTATCTTAATTCTAAAGCTTCCAATCCAATGCGTGTCCGCTCATTTAATTTTACCTGCACAATTAAAAGAAAAGAATTAGAATTCAAATAAATAATTAAATGCAGAAAATAAATTTTAATGTTCATCATTAAATGTAATGGCCGGAATCAGTTATTTTATTTTTTTGCAAATCACGGGATTACTCCCGGTTCACAAAAAAAAGAAAAGGATTTTAAAGCATATGCATAAATTATTTTCCAAAAAAAAAACTGCATACTTAAGCTAATCACATTAGTTTTAATCCCAAATGTAATTTCAAGAGCATACAGCATAAGCAACAAATATGTAGTAACTAATATGCAAGCATGTTACTTGAACGTTTGCCTACACCAGTAGAAACAAAACAGAATTTGTATTAAAAGAAACATGCAGTTTGACCATACTTGCAAGCAATATGAAATTTCCTTTTTTCATCATTTTCTGGCCATTACAGTTTCAGAAGTGTACAGCTTATCATTTTTTTATCAAAGCTATGCTGAGAGAAAAGAAAGAGAGATAGAGAATTGGTTTTGCAGGTTTAGCATAAGCATAAGGAGATATACAAGACAAACCAAGAAAATATAGCCAGTATAATTAATAACACAAAAGAGGAGTAGAGACAAATTGGGGGGACAGGGGTGCAGAGTGCTCAGAAAATCCCAGCAGCATATTTTCAAATTTTTCAATCTGTGGCGTTCAAGAAGAAGGAGAGAACTGTTATATTAGATAACAAAAAGAAAACAAAGAGATATATCTAACCTGAGAAGACAGCAGAACCAACAACAAAAAAATCCACACAAGTTCTAAAGACACTATCCAAAGAACCATCCTGCATATCAAAACCTGCAAGTTCTAAAGACACTATCCAAAGAACCATCCTGCATATCAAAACCTGCAAGTTCTAAAGACACTATCCAAAAACCATCCTGCACATGGCATAACCTGCATCTAGACTATACAAACAACAGTCCATTTTTTTTCAACATAACCTGTTATCGGCTAAACATTAGACTAGAGACCAAAAACCACAAAATTGTGCCACACTAGAAATTTTCAGAAAAAACACAACAGGACTTCATTCAACAACAAGACACAAAATTTGCGGCATACTATTAGAAGTGGGAAGAGAAGAGACTTACCTCGAGGAGTCGTCACTCCGATAACTTTCGGACAGGTAACACCGTTATTATCACATTGTTGTTTTGGTCTTAAGATTTTTCATGGCATCATAAGGATTATATCTACTGTGACATTTCTCTACTTCTCAAATATTTCATTGTTGTCATGAATCTCTCTTGTTGTCTGAGCCGTTTTGGAAATAGAATCACTTCCTAATCCCGCATTACATCAACCACCCCTCATCACCATTACTTCATCGTTAATTTTTTAAAACTTCCATCTTTACACATAGAATCACCGAACCACCTGCATCAATAATCGATAACATAAACCAGATCAAAAACCATTTCATGATATAGTTATTAGAGGAGTCCAAATATAGACCGTAAAAAAGAGAACGCTCAAAACTCACCTCAAAAAATATCCCTGCTAAAGTTACTGTATCTTCCTCCAACCTTCAACAAACCTGCATTCGAATAATACACAACAACGAAAACTATCTCAATCTCTCGATTCAGCGCCTTTGTTCTTTAGTTTAGGATTTTCTTCTTTCTCTTCTCTTTCACATAATCCCAGCAGCCCCCCAAATTTCAAGCAATTGATAGCAGACCTCAAGAAAGAAGAATCAACTCCTAAGCCTTTTGTATGTACAAAGATCAGCACGTGGCGAGAGTTCGCAATCTTGCCTCAGTAAATGACATCGAGAGGCTAATTGCCACACCATCATCTTGAGAGGCATTACTTAGCTCAATCTCGAAAGCAGTCCCGTTAATACCCGCAGGTAGATCTCTGCTCTCCGGCTGATAATGGTGTCGGTGCAAAGGAGTGGACAGCCCAGTCTTCAATAATCTCTTCTGCACTCTTCCATTTCAAGTCAACGTTCTTAGCCTTCTCCGTTTCAGCCTCTTCCTCAGCTTTCTTCTTCTTTATCTTTTTTACTCTTCCTTGTCAAACCACTGCTTTTACCCTTTTCCATTTCAGCCTCCTTCTTAGCTTTCTTCTCCATTTCAGCCTCTTTCTCAGCTTTCTTCTTCTCTAATTCTGCTTGTTTGATATTCTCATCATGTGCTTTGAGAAACATCCTTATAAAATTTAACAGAGTTGCAGTAACTGCAATCAAGAATCCGAAAAGGTAAGTTAACTTGAGCAATACAAAATAGGTAATAGAGCAAATATGTTATCTTTGATAAATAGTGCAGGAATGATGAAACTGCATTTGGTCCTATTTAAATCTCATTAACTATAAAAAGGGTTGAACAAATATTTATATAAATGTACAATGTAATTTATATAGGAATGTTATCTTATCATAATCCTAAACGATACTAACAAATAATAATATAATCAATATCTCAACAGTCATGTCCTCCCATTTCTCCACCCATCTCTTCTCCTCTTCCGCACAAACCCTATTCAAATTCTCCACAATGATACTCCCATAACACTCATTTCCATCATTAGCAGCAACAAAATCAGCTTCAGACTCCTTCAAATACCTCAACGACCGAATTCCATAACCACAAAAACCCAAAATTGAATCTCTCAGAATCTCACAACACTCAACTCAGATGCAAACCTTCCTCTCATTCAAACCCACGAAATCACTTAGCAAACCAAAAGAAGTAGAAGAAAAAGAATTGAACATAAAAGAAGAGATCAAAATACCGCGTACCAGATTCATTTTTTTGCAATACTTCTATTATTTTCATGATTTCGTGCTTCCTTTTAATCTTCATCTTATAATCATCTGGACAACATTGGGTTTGGGGTTTCTTTGGGGGATTAGGGTTTGTTGCTCTTTGTCTTGTTCTAAAATCGCTGATGAAAAACGGAGAAGAAAAATCACATGAGAAGCATGAGATAGAACGATGATAGAAGTTAAGAGATTGAATTAGGAAGAGAGAAGAAAGACATCGAGGCTTACCGTGAACGACTCCTCGAACCGCTCCCTCTGTCACCGATTCTTCTTTCCTTTCCTGCGTTTCCGTTTTTCTTTCCTTCGTGCGTTCTGGTTTCGATTCGTGTTTTGTTGTCGTTCTGGAGGCGAGATGTGAAGGAGGAAGGAAGGGATCCAGCGGCGGCCATTAGCGTTCCTAGGTTTTTTTTTGATTACAGCATGTGTTGTTCTTCGACCCGCTCCATGACCCGCTCCACATTTGCCTCAACTAAGCCCATTCTTCTTTTCTTACACTAAAGCCCATTGCTAATTGTTATTCATACCCCATTTTCTTTTATTTGGTCTTTAATTAATTATATTCATTTCTTAGTTTAATTAATTAGTTTTAGGAATAACATATATTTTAAATAGACAATTTCAATATTATTTACCCAAATCTCATTAGCTTAAATTTAAGTTTTATTTAATAACTTTAACCTTCCTTGTTTCTAATTCATTTTAAATTCATGGTTTGATTTAATTCAAAAAAATATTTAATATCTCTAAAAAAAACATATGAAAATGAAGACTAAAAAACATTTTATTTTATTCCCCTCATTTTGTTTAAATATCAATATAATAAAAACATAAAAAATGGAACATATAAACTTTAAAAAATATTTCTATTGATTCTCGTTACCTTTTATTATTAAAAATGCGTAAAAAATGAAAACCAATTAAAGCTTTTTCTTTTCGCATATTAAACAAAATCATATAAAATGCATGTTCACATTTAATTGTTGTGTATCATTTTCTGTTTAAATATCTCGCATTTACTTGATTATTCTGTTTGCGTCAATCCAAAGGGAATTGTCTAATTTTTGTTGACTTCATGTCCTCAAAAAACGATCAAGCGAATACCCTCATTTCATTGAAACTTAGGATAATTTTTTCCAAATATCCGACTTCTCCAAAACTCACACCTTTTAAGTCAAAAACTTCAACGTTAGGTTGTCGTATCTTCAAAAACCCGTCCGTATCCTTTTTTCGGCCAAAACGATTTATTTTCAATCAAGTGATCATTTTTAAATAAAACAGATATTTCAAAAGGTTCCTATAGAATACTATAGATACATTGGGTGCTAGTACCTTCCCATTGTATAACCAACCCCCGAACCATAAGATCTCTTTTCAAAAACGCTTTGTATTTGTATTTTATTTACATTGCATATTTAGGGTTTTATTTCGCTCTTTTCCCTTTTCCTTTGGAAACAATAAAGCGCGGTGGCGACTCTTGCTTTTGCGAGACGAATTAATCAATAATTCGATCTCCGATTTACCCCGCTACATTTTTTATCGCTACAGTATCCAACCCAGGCATGTCTTCGTAAGACCAGGAAAAGATTTCCACGTAGTCATGCAGCATCTGAATCAACCGTTGTTTCACACTAGACTCCAGATTGGCACCAATCTTGACTTCTTTTCTGTCTGTCTCAGTACCCAGATTTACTGTTTCCACTGGCTCTTCATGTGGCTGAATGGCCCTCTCTTCCTGGAGTAGCAGTCTTGCAAGCTCACCAGGCACTTCACAATCATCTTCACCTTCGTCTTCGGCTAAGTTGATCGGATTTTCGAAGTCATAACTGGCAGTAGCAGAGTCGTTACCAGTGAGATCCAGAGTGGATTGGAACCTGTATAGGTGAGTGTGTGTAAATATAGCTGTTTTGCAATATATATAATAAAGAAAGACAAGGAGCGCAAGATTTGAAATGCAAAAAACGTCCAATGCTTTTATTAATGATATATGAAAGTAACACACAAAAGCCCTCACAAATGAAGCCACGGTGCCCCGGGTAAGACACCGGGCCATAAAGTTTCAAATTATTGTTCGTTACAACTTTAAAACAAAGGAGTTCATTACTGAGTGACAAAAGTAATAGGTATGAAATCTTTCGATGTCCAGTTGCTTGGTCCACCGTTGGTCGTTGGGTAGATCCAGCTGTTGAATTCAGATTCCTCCACGTCGTCTTCATCCCTAATAGCATTTACTCCATGATTGGGCATGGGAGCTGTCACCACATTAGGCCTCTCGGGCGCCTCGAACTGAACCTCTTTAGCATCAACAAGGTCTTGAACCTTATTCCTCAGAGCCCAACAATCATCTGTGTTATGTCCCGGGCTGCCAGAGTGATAAGCGCGGCGGGCATTGGGATTATATTTTGGAGAAGTTGTATTCACTACCTTCGGAGCTTCTTTGATAGTTACCAGATTGGTTGACAGCAGTTGCGGCAATATCTGAGACAGGGTCATGCTGAGCCGAGTGTACTGCCTTTTGGGTCTCTCACCCCTTGGTTGGTTATACTGCTGAGGAGCAGCAGCAGGCTTTGAAATTACCACCGCGTTGACAGCTTGGCGGCGTTCCGGTTTGTTCTGTCTCCTTGGACCATAAACAGCATTAGCTTCCTTCTTGAAGGGCTTCTTTTCAGTACTCGAGGAGGCACCTTTCTGTATCTTCCCCGACTTGATACCAGCTTCTATCCTCTCACCAGTCAGAATGAGGTCTGTAAACCCTGCAGAAGAATTACCAATCAGATGGTTGAAGAATGGACCAGACAGGGTCCCCAAGAACATGTCCACGAGTTCACGGTCAGTCAAAGGCGGCTGCACCCTGCCAGCCAGGTCTCTCCACTTTTACACGTACTCCTTAAAACCTTCACCCGTCCCAAGTGACATACCCTGGAGTTGGGTACGCGTGGGAGCAAGGTCGGAATTGTACTGATACTGCTTGTAAAACGCAGTAGCCAAGTCCTCCCAGTTACGAATACTGGTTCCATCCAGCTGATAGAACCATTCGAGTTGAGCCCCTGGAAGAAATGGATCCATAGATTCTTGTCTGCAGTGTAAGGTTGGATCTTCCTTACATATGATATGAGATGCAACTTAGGGCAGGAAGCCCCATCGTACTTCGCAAAGGCAGGCGCCTTGAACTTGTGTGGGATCACCACCCCAGAAGATAAACCTAGATCTCCAAAATCCAACCCAGGCACGCGTTGAATCTCCATAGTATTTAACCGGTCCTCCAGCTGTTTGTACCTGTCCTCAGCAGGAGGGTATTGTTCATCATTGAAATCTGTCTCGTTCTCAGAGACCACGGGACTAGGAACCCTTCTCTCTTGGGGACTGCCTTCCCCAACAGATGGAGTAGTCAGATCAGCCTCATTCTGTAGTGTATTCCCATATCTGCGCCTGGTGTTGAACAGCACAGTCCTCTTCTTCTTCTTCTTCTTCTTCTTTTCCTTCAAGAGCAGAGTCTTCAACTCCTGTTGACCCTGGGCTAAGCTCATGACCAGCTCTTGAAACTGGGCGTTCTGGGCCTAGAGGGCCTTGATAGCTTGTTCAGTGGTAGGTTCAGGATTCATGATGATTGTTGAAATAAACAGCGAAGAAGATTAAGCAACCTGTAGAAAAAGGGTACCTGTTATGCATATGATGCATGATATGCTATTTATGCAATGCATTCAAGGGTTCGAAAGTTCAAATTCGTTGTAGACAAAAAGGAACACATGTTATATTAAGAAATGATATGTTCAGTACATCAGGGCCTCATGGGCAAAAAATTACAAAATAATTAATGCCAAAAGACACTGCGCATCCTCTTTGGTGCGATGTAGGTGTTGAGAGTCTTTTCCTCGTGAAGTAGACGGGTGAGCTCCAAGACCTTCTTCTCACTGGCATGTAGACTGGTTTCAAGAGAATTCCGTTCTTCCTTGAGTTGGATCCAGCTTTTTTGTATTTCTTCCCAAGATGTTGGCATGTCAGGATGTTGAATGGTGTATGGCACCTCTCCTTCCAAAACTGGCTCTTTGAACACGGGGAGAACATGAGGATATGGCATCACAAGCTTCTGGGAGCGGGCTCGTACCCACTTGAGATAAGGTTCAAGGGAGATGGAGTTCTTGTGCCCCAGTGTCTTACTATCCACCTTGTTTGGCATCCTCCAAGCTCTGATGAATCTCTGGCGAAGTCCTTGTGCATCGTTGTCGAAGTCAAAAACTATGTCAGGAATCAACATGTCATGAGGGCCGTCCCTCCGAGCATATCCAAACTATCTCAAAGCCAGACACGGGTTGTAAGTAATGCCTCCTCTGATTCCAAGTAAAGGAACATTAGGGAACTCTCCGCAACGATCAATGATAGTGACATTTTCTCTGGACCGAGAACACCAATGTATATCAGCATGTGTAAGAGTCATTAATCGTTGTGACCATCTCAAACCCCGCTCGTTCTTCAAAACTGATTGTGGAAGGTGCGAAATAAACCACCTTGCCAGGAGAGGAGTGCAGCACATGAGAACACCTCTTTTTCTCATGGTTCGAGTGTAACATGAGTGGAGGATATCCCCAAGCAATGTAGGTATGGGATTCCTGGACATGAAAATCTTGACAGCATTGATATCTATAAGCTGATCCGGATTCGGGAACAACACCAACCCATAGACAATGAGTGCCACAACTTCTTCAAAAGCTTGTAGGTCAAGGGAATCCCAACATTCTTGTGCTTTCTCAAATAGGAACTTTGCCAAGAATCCTTTGATACCACTTCTGGTTTCCCAATGCCCCTTGATGTCAGATGGCTGTAGGTGTAATGCTTTAGCAACCTCTTCAAGTTTTGGTTCCCTTTCCGTACCGTTGTAGGGTAGTTGACTGAGAATGGGAACCCTCAGAAGCTGAGAAAACTCTTCCAAAGTAGGCACCAATTGATAATCCGGGAAAGTAAAACAGTGGTGCGAAGGGTCAAAGAACTGGAACAACACTTTCACCATATCCTCTTCAATGTTGGTATTGACCAAGCTGATGAGTCTACCATGCCTTTCACTGAAGGAAGAGTTCTCGGGAATCCTGGATGTAAGCTCCTTAAGCTGAGGAGGGATCCTTACAAGGTTGATCTGAATTATCTTTCTACGGATAGTTTCCATGTCCTACAAAACAAGAACAAAGATGAAGATTTGAACCCTTGAAGTGGTTAGTGGATGCATATGATGTTGTATGATGCTATGATGTTATGATAAGGACACACCACAAGTATTCACAAAAAGCAAACATGATAAGGCACACAAGTCACACCAGACAGCCCTTAGAGTTTAGGCCAGCATGAAGTTCAGGTACTACCCTCTTGAAGTTGGTGGGTTCAAAACTTGTCCTATCAAAAG